GCTATACTGCCATTTCTACAGGGAGATAGAAATAAGGAATTCTCTTATTTTACTTCTTCTTTGACAGTAGCCAGGATGAGCAGATTCTGATTATAAATATTCTGTGCCATTTAGTTAAATATATATATTTACTTTTACTCTGGATCACTGATTATAATAATAAAGACTAAGACATTTGTCCACAATGATGAAGTAGAATTTTTGGGCTGATGTATAATTATTTTGAAGGGGAAGATTTAAAGAAGGGGTGTTATGAATCAGCCATATATTATGATTCTGATATATTCTTTCTTGTTGGGTTCTTAGTATTCTCTCATCATTCTGAAATGTCTGCAGGAAAACAACCAAGCTTAGAAAACACTAAGAAAGCAACAGTTCAACCTTGAGCTACATACATTCTCTACTATTGGATATTCTTTTTTATTCAGTTTTTGAAGTCTCTGATTATTTTCATTCTAGTATACTAATCCCTGTGCAGTGTTAATGTTTGCATCTCAAAATAAAAGTTAAGTTAAAGAAGTGAAAAAGCAAATGAAAAAGGATCCAATCTCATAAGAAAATGCTGAAATCACTGCTTCAAAAAGGCTCAACAAAGAATGACAACTTGCAGATCAATATTGTTTATTCATGATAAAAATGTACTAATATTTTTGTGCATCAATTTGCCTAGAAAAATGTATATATGTACTGTAGCTTTTCTCATGTATCACTTCCCCCCACATCATTTTCCCCTTCAAAGTAATATTATTCATCATTCCTCAACTTTCCCCCCAGCAAAAACTCTGATCTGTTGTCTATTCATTCCAGACTTCAGAACAAAGTCTAATAGGAAGGCAGGCTCTGATTAAGAAAAACTGTGTGAATGTAAGAGAAGTTCAACAATGAAATCAGTCACTGAGGAGCTGATGGGTACCTTTCATTGGACGTGTTCTGGTAGCTATCAGATGGGGATACTTTTATTTATATTTCTGCACTGAACAGAGGATTGGAGAATGGCTTAAATGGTTTCTTTCAACGTGATGGGTCTTTCTTCACTGCTAAATTGAAGTGCTCTCATCAGTTTGGCAGTAAACTGTACTAGCATGAAATACACTATTCCCATTCAGATCTGCATGCTGTACCTACTTCAAGTCACTATAGTCAGTGGACTTCCTACAAAGATAATGGGTGACAAAGCTTAATAGATTTTATCCATCTTGAGGTTGCCCTTGGATTGTAGAGGGAAAATACTACTTTAATATTAGTAGAGCTAGGGATGATATAAGCTTGTCTCACTCATGGGCAAATTCATGGGGCAGAAGATAAGAAGCTGCCAGGGCATGTTTGCATCATGATTAGTTGCAACTGAGTAAAGGCCCCATGTGAGTCTATGATAGGATCCTGTTTGGAAGTCTTGTTTAACCTCTCGCCTGATTGCCATGGGGTCACTGTGTTGGCTATCAGATACTCTAGAATGGGAGGCTTGCAGCAAAATTTTGCAGCATATCCCTAACTCCTAACATACATCATTTCTCTAGAAAGCCAGCTAACTCAGCAAAGCAGCATTGTAGTACTGTTCAAGACTCATGCAGTCAGTGTGGGAAAGGTTTCAAGAGTCATAAAGAAAGAAAAAAATGTTCCTAAAGTGCTAAAGCTAAAGGTCTGTCCAACAGATAGATCTGTGTGTATCTATATTTGCAGCCCTACGTAGGCACAATGCGTCAGTCAGCACAATTATGAAGAAGTTATAGAAATCCATATTTAGCCTAAGCATCAAAGTGCTCATGCTTGTCTGAGATGATGTGTTGTGAGATAAAATCTACAAAAGCCCAGGTGGATTGGAGAAACTTTGGGGGCTCCAAAAGTTGAGGTTAAACAAAGTCAGTACTTGTATACATGCAAAAATTGCTTAAGAACAGTAATGAAGTTACTTTTATTCCCCCATCCCCATATATTTAAAATATATATGTATAGTACAGGAATAGCTTTTTTAAAAAATATAGTCTCCTAGTTCAGCATACAATAAATTATCTATTTTCCTGTTTCAGCATACACTAAATTGATAGAATGTTAATCACATCATTTTTTCCCCTCTTTTCTTCTTAGTTGATCCCATCAGTACTACTGGGCCTGGAAAAACATGAATTATATCATTATCTGACTGTTGCTGGCTGTCTTTCTTTTTTCTTTTAATTAGCAATTAATGTATTATGGAATACCTAAGGAATGCTTTATGTTATAGAAACAACTACACAGTTCCTTCTTATCCTACATATAATGCCGCAATTTTTGAATAGGTCTACAATGTTTCACATAAGTTGTTTCAATAATTTTTATAAGGCAAATCAATATTTACAAGTTATTTTAAGGTGGGGTTGAGCTGAGCTTCCCATAAGAAAGTACTGGAAAGAGATTTCAGGATTCTGAACTTAAGCCAATGTCTAGATTTTATGGCCAAGAGGATAAATTTGAAATTGAGCAGGAATCCCATATGAAATCTCCAAAGTCAAATGGACAGACTCAGTGGCAGTAATGATCAGAATGATAGGTAGTCTTTAGAACCCCATAAAGTACCTTGTTGCTATCCATAGCTTTCTAAATCATGAAAATATAGGCAAACCTGTTTAATCAACACAGGCTGCAGACCCTGATTAAGGGTGGTTAGAAATAATTTGACACACAAATATAATTGAAACTGCTGAATTGAAACACAGCCTAGTCTAAAACTGAAGATGGAGAATAGTCTTGCTGAAGTTATTATCTTGATTTGTTTTAAGAAATGGAAGCGCATGCTTAGAATTATCCATATAGTGGAAAACCTCTGATCCATGGAACAATGTAGTTTGTCAACCCTTTCTGTTTGATTACCTAGCTAGCTACCAAGTTCCATCAACTTTCCTTGATTCTGTTCCCCAGGCTTCCATTTTTCCTGTTTTGCAATTGCTTCCCATCTGGTTGATCTAGGGTTAAAACCTCCTTTTCTCACCAAATAGCACAAAATCTAAGTATAATGGCAATGCACAAAAGCATCATTCACCTTTCCAGTTACCAGGTTGTTTTTCCTCTGTGTTGGATTCCTGCATCATTGTCTCACCTTGCTCTCTCCAGAGGGGAGAATGAAGGCAGTATGTTCTGTACATAGTAGGGATAGGAAGAACATGGGAATGGAGAAGGAGTGATACAAAGGACAAGCAAAAACAAAAAGCAAAACAAAGAAAGCAAAAAGAAGCAAAGAGAATAACAGATCCTTTTGCCATACTTACTTTGGTTTTGGCTATGCCTATCATTGGTGGGTAGTCCTTAAAAAATATTAGAGAAGCGAATGAATCCCTTGGACTGAAAGTGGTTCCCCACCCTGTTTTATGGAGATGGGACACCTATAGTCCTCAAAAAGTTGTTAATCTTAGTTCCGATTATCCCCATCAATGGTTGGAGCCAATAGTTAAGCAACATCTGGAATACTAAATGTTACCCAACCCTGTTACAGAGTGTTAACTATAAATCACTGAGTAATAACTTGACTCCACCTGTTCCATATTGCTAGAAATCAGCATGATTACTGTCCTGGAGTGCTTCTTTTATTGAAGCCCATGTTTCTCAATCACATCCCTAATGTGTAGTAAATGCAATTCTTCAGAAGGAAAATATAATATATTTTTGATATGCAACTTTCTTCTCTCACCTTCCCTTCACCTCTTAGGCTGACAGCCTTTATCTCATTGAATCCCTTCCCTACAATGATTACCATGGAACAGAGTATCTTGTTTCTGGCAGCATTACCCCATGAGATAGAACCCACAATGAATGTGATGCTTGGAAGAAGTCAAGGCTCTTGGCCTCTCCTGCAATATACACAAGACTACCAGGCTGGAAGATACTGAGGGATCAAGAGATACTGAGGGCATTCTCGGCTTTGATTTAGCAGTTTGGGTTTCCCATACGGCAGTAGCAGACTGTCTGAAACAGTCGGCAGTGGCAGAAGGCACAGGAATCACAGCAGGGATGAGACGGTGGCCTGCAGCTTGCCCAAGTAGCGACACAGTTCGGAGGGGGGGATGGTTTGGGTCGAGAAGGTTTTTTTTGTTGCCCCATTCTCTGAGGAGAGAAAACAAAGCAAAACCAAAAGAAACAACAGGTTTTAAAAAGCGTTCCAATAGTTTTTGCTGCCTAAGAGTCAGCTGTTATTTTAACTGAAGTAAATACTTTATCTGTGCTCTTCATTTTGATCATATTTTTAAGCCATTTTATTGTTTTTGTTAATTGTATTTTATGATGCTACAGATTTAAAGTACAGACAAGTGCTTGAAAAGGTGACGTATGTAGAGCAAATTGAGTTGTTATGTGCTGATTTAGCCACTGGCCACTGGTCAAACCAGTTGTCTTATTCATAGTTCACATAAGAATAAAAATACTGTTCATTATTTAAATTTATCTATTCAGTCTTAAAAGCTTAACTCTGTTATCTCCAAAAAACCTGGGAAATAGTTTGTGGATTTTCAATCCCAAATTTGTAGCAACCTCAGCAAAATACAGTTCCCAAAACTATTTATGGAAGTCATGGCAGTCCAAAAAAAGAATATAACTTAGTAGTTTATACTTATAAATTAGCTAAAAACAATTACCCACCTTCATAGATTTCTTTTTCTCAGCCTCTTTCCTGCTTAGCTTCAGGGATGTTTTGGTTAAATCTTTACAGAAAAAAGAGAAAGAAATCAGAAACTTGCATAATATTCATTTTTTTAACTGTAACAGGTAGAACGCTATAGAAGGATTGGACATTCACTTGCTTGTTTCAACTGTAATGACAACCCATGCGTTTCATCTACATAAGCATGTTTTGCAGGATTAAATCTGAATGCCTTTCTGTTGTTTTTGGAATAGTGAAGTAGAGATAAAACACTTTTGCTACTACTTGAAAGAAATCACAATTCCATCTTACTTCCAGCTTATGTGAGTGGCCTCACACCTCATTGCTGGTCCTGGGGGCTTGGGAGGATGATAAATAAGGATGGCCATCTACTGCAAAAAATCTGTCTTTTAAACTAATGAACAAAAATGATGACCATAGAGGAGGCCATGCAGCCATTCCTCCATCTGCTTTTGTAGAGTGGGCAGTTGGTGACTAGTACTACAGAGCCTTGCTATCTGATAAGAGGGAGGAAATCTCAAGAGCTGGAAATCAGGATGAGGCAGAAGATTTTATCAATGAGAAATCACCCTACCCTGAATATTTATAGGCTATTCTGATACATTTATACAGCTCCTTTCAGAGAACGTAGAACAAAAGACAGATGATACATGCATTGCCTGTTTTCTATCAGATTAGTCTGTGGAAGTTACAAAAATGTTGCTGAGTCTGTTGACAATGCATCCCTTGGAATAGGAAGTGAGCTGATAGATTATTGATTCAGCTTTGAATCCTACAAACTCAAGAGTGTTGCAGGCTTTGGGGAAGAGTAGTATACCCATATGTGAGAGGAACCCTAGATCCAACCAGATGCCCAGTGCTTGAAAACACCGCAACCCTTGATTTAACCTTAGTTTCATGAGTACAAATATAACAGGGAGTGCAGTTTGTTAAAAAAAAAAAAAGGAATAATACTGTAATCCCCACTATGTAGAGCAAACCTAGAAATCAACTCCACAAGAAGGCTGAAACTTCTTTCATTAATATTGGCTATAGTAACAGAATCTTGCAAGTCTGACTGTGCTTTACTCCCCTCCCCCACAACTCATGTGGCTTTAGGGGGGTGTCTGCCTGAGTCAGTTGCACATACCTTCTTCTTGTTTTGGATTAAGGGCATGTTTTGGTAATGGATCTGGCCTACCTCTGTCAAGATCTTCCTTACTCCCTACAAATAGTGATTTACCCTGTTGAGAGTAGGTTTCTCTTGCCAGCTGGCAGAACTCAGGGAGAGAAACATCCCTTTGGGCAGATTGCAGACATTCCTATTTCACATTCCTTTGAGTAAAGCATGGCTGTTGGTCACATACAGAGTCAAAGTATCTCAGACCCTCCCTCTCCTGGCAATATACTAAAACTGTGATCATTTTAACACTAGCACAGGAAAAGCAGAAGTCTGTGTACTGAGGCTGGAAAGAAGTAGGTTTTACCATTTCCCAGCAGCTTCTGATTAAAGTTTCCAAGAAGCTGGGAAATCCAAGGAAACTGAAGTAGAGGAACAGATCACTCAGACAGTGCTATTTCAGTAGGAATAAAGGCAAACTAGGAATTCGCAAAAAGGAATTTGCATTTTCTACATGGTGCTAAGTTAAGTCTCATGGTCTCATGTTCATACTTCTCTATATAAGCTAGTGAATTCTGTGTAATGTCAGCCTTTATCCATTCTTTCGGGTGAGCATGAACATCTCATCTGCATTTATAATCTTTTTATAATCTGTATTGGATTTAAATCCCTGCTGCGTTTCTTTCAAGATTCTGCTAGAGAACTTTTTGTTTATATCCATCCTGTGGTCTGCTTGGAGCACTGTGCTTTTTTTTTTGTTTTTTTGTTTTTGTAAATTTCTTTTAAATTGATAACTATACCATCATAATCTGAACAGCTGTCTTATTTATCTTTAACCACACTATTTGCATTATTAATATTTAAAGTTAAAAAGGGAGGTTGCATTTTATCCTTTCTTCTTTCCAAATAACATTTTATAATTGTTTTATCTCTGGTGATACTACTTTGTCTCCTGCACACAGAAGGATGAATTGAGTCATTTAGCCATGCCCCTTTACACTACATGGGCAGGAGTCCACACTACTAAAATTATTTCACTCTTTTTATATTTACTTTTTAATCTCCAGAAACATCATATTCTCCTCATGATATTGATCCAGAGAAGTAGATGACCCTACATGGGGTCATCTACCCTTCCAGTGGTAGAGACTGTCTTCCAGTTTTCTGACATTGGTTTACTTCTTCTTCTTCTTCTTCTTCTTCTTCTTCTTCTTCTTCTTCTTCTTCTTCTTCTTCTTCTTCTTCTTCTTCTTCTTCTTCATCATCATCAAAAATATCCTTCTGGTAATCTTTCAGGAGAGTCTTCTAACTCTCATTTAAAATAGAAAACAAAACTTTGTTCTCTTGATAATTTGGAATGTCTATAGGCAGGCTCAGGCCTTTACTGTCTCTTCCACTAGCTTTTCCTTGCTGCATTAATAGCTAGTGTTATTCTAAGATAGACAGACAAACATATGGGTCAAACAACTCCTTCAATGTCCATGAAGTTTTAATCTGTAACTGACTGCACCATCACCCTATACCTCTCCTTTAATTTTCCCCATTAAATTCTGAAATAAAATGTACCTAATTGTCTGAATTAGTTGCCCTCGCCTAGAAAACAAACAGCCTTACTCACATAGTTCAGCTGCTCTGATTTTCCCCAGTTTTGAAAAATGGCCATCTGCAAGTTATAGCCTTAGTTTAACATTTATATTCCACATAACTTCCAAATTTGAACAATTACAGCCAGATGTGATTCAGAATCAAACCATATGTAATGCAGGAAAACACATGTTTTATGTCCCTTCATAACAGGAGCTATGTTGATGAGTACACGAAATAAGAAATTTTATGACTTTTGTGTGTGATCAGGTTGGCTCCATCTCTACTGAGCGTTCCAGATGCTACTAAATTTCACCACACAGACCTTTGCTGGCTTTGAGTTCACTTGTATTCTACTCATTTGTTTTCCAAGGTCATTATATAGCTAAGTAGCTTTATTGTACAATGTTCTCCCTTTCCTTGTCTTTACCTATGAAAAAAATGGTTGAGGATACGGTTGGTATGATTAGGGTAACAGAGAAAGTAATTCAATCCATGTTCCTTTTTTCCCCCTTCAACATTATTTGCCTCCTTCACCTCCTCCATTTTCCAACTCCTCTTTTGCATGCAGTATGATCTGTTTACCAACTTTATAGTTAAACCAAGAGATGGCATGGGAGAAATATGCTGTTTTCTAATAGAGATACCTCTAGAATGAAACATGGGTGACTATGTAATGGAACGAAGTTAAATTTCATCATTATGGTGACTTCTCCACATGCCCTATTTAAGAAATATTGCCTAGCCATCTTGTTCATTGTGTACTTGTGATAAGGGAAATAAATATCAGATATGATAAAGGCTACTTCCCAAAAATTTCTTCCAGAGCAAGAGTTATGAGCCACCATTTGCCTGTATGCAAACCATAGCGACTTGCATAGAATTATCATTCCATAACTTTGCATCAGAATGGTCACACACCCCTGTGATATGTACAGAAATCTATGATTCTACAGCTACTCTATAGTTTGCCTTGAACCTTCTGCTCAGTCTCTGACAACTTTCAAGAAGATGCAATGTTTCCTTCTTCTTCAGGAAACACCACAGCTTGAGTAAACTAGTTTGTGCCATTCTTTATAACAGTTTCTCATGGCTGTCCAACCAGTGAAAGTTGCCTTGCTCAGCAATAGAGCAATGAGAGAGAAATGACAGTGGGGCTAGGTTTACCTATACTAACATGCAAAGACAGCAAGGAAAAGGAAGAGAAGTGACACTAATCAGGAAGGATGAAAAAAGAAAAGTACCTCCTTGGCATTCTTCATATTACATTACATGTTAATGTAGGGAGTCTCTCAAAAGAGTGAAAGTGAATTGAGCCTTGTTCCATGCAATCTGCATTATGGGAAAGTGAGTTCAGTGATGAGTTTTGTGTGGCTTTCAATAAGCTAATAAAATCAGAAATAAACTGACTTAGTGTCTAAAGAGAGAGTATAAGGGTGAGGAATCAGGACCAGCATCAATTCTGAACAGAGTCAAAATGCTCTCATCTGCACCTTAAAGGGCAGCCTTTCTCTTCCACTTTGTAGCAATAACATAGCCTATAGCAGGTCATCTCGCCATTCTTCTTATTGTTCCTCAGAATTAGAATCCTTTCTAATTCTGCATGACCTCATAACAATCAATATATCCAAAATATGTATTTTGCAGAATGCCAAATTCAACATTTGCCTGCATTTTTAATTCATTTTTCCTAAGTGAATATATTGCTGGTCCTAAAAAATCAGTTAAATACGAAATGTGAGAACATACCATCCATGAAGTCTTATAGAAGAGACATTTTACTGCTAGTTAAACTAGTTCAGAACTGAAGAAGTTGATCTTAGCAGGCAAACAGACTACTGAGATTGATATATTCATTTATGAATATATTTTAATATTGCTTTCTAATTATATACCTAGGGAAGTTTAGATATAAAAAAATTGTCAATATACTGGTTAAGAAGCTAGACAGAGGAAAAATTGTGTATCCTTACATCTTAGATTCTAGTATTGTCCCTTACAATTTTATATAACTTACTCTCAAGGCTTTAGAAGATCTGATGATTCCTAATATCATTAGAATGTATTTGGACATAATATTAGCTTTAAGTCATTATGAAAGCCATAATGATTCAATTAATAATACAAGAGCAGATGGCTAAAGGCAAAAATGTTTCTATTAATCCTAGCATGTGTGTAGAGAGCTTTTATATAAATTATCCTTGATGTTTCAATTGGCTCATCTCATAACTCTGTGATGCGGTGAATTTCATATGGATTCAGTTTGAATAGACCAGGAATGTTACCCCATTTTTGCTTCTTTTTAAAAGATGAAAAGAGACATGAGTGGGACTGTGAAGATGAGGGCTGCAGATATAGGTGAGATCTAAATTGCTCAATATCTAATCCGGAACATAGATTTTTGACTTGGGACATTCAGAATTTGACTTTCTATTTCTATTTCTCCCCAAAGAAAATAATAATAATAATAATAATAATAATAATAATAATAATAATAATAATAAACAACAGTGGAAGGACTTGATTGAACATTAAGTTAAAGCATCTTTTAGACTTGTCAATTTAAATTAGTACTTTGTTTTGTTTATTTATTCCAAATGCTTATATAAGATGACCGATCCTTTATCTTGTTCCTTGTTCTCAGTAAGTTTACATATCTTTCTTACTCAACCACTTAGCTTTCACAAAAATTCAAGATCTTGAAATATTTCAGCAATGTTATGGGATTAGGTTCTTTTGTTTATTTCTTTTTCTTTTTCTTTTTTTCATAATTATTCTATTTTTATTCTGTTGGTTGTATTATATGCTGCCCAGAGTCAGGCTGTGCCTAAATTGAATAAGTTAAATTAAATTCTCTAGGGGCCCTCCTTCAGCCTCCTGGCCCCCTAAGTGCCACTTTAATCATATCTGTCATATTACATTACACAGAGCATGCCATATGTAACTGGTTAAATTTGCTATCTGCTTATATTGTACATAATTTCATTGCAATGTTTGTATTCTGCTTTTTTATCTAAAAGCAAACACAAAGTATCCAGCCTGGTGCCTATCCTCTGGAATAATATTCTCCCAGAGATCTGTGTTGCTCCCAACCTGATGATGTTCCAGAAGTCTTTAAAAACTTGTCTGTTCTTCCAGGCCTTGGGGTAGTGTGTTTATGGAGCTCCTGTTGGTGTTGCCTCATGGTCCATAGAATGTAGCTTGTTTGGACACAACTTTTTTTATTGTTTTCTATTTTTTTAAAGCATAAGCTACCCAAGTTTTTCCAGAGTCAATAATAATAATAATAATAATAATAATAATAATAATAATAATAAAAAAAAAGCAGCTT